CATTTCAGGCATGTTTGATACACTTTTTTTTCTTGGCAATTCATTTTCTTGGTTTAGGCTCACACGCATCCAATTCCTTGTTTTTTTATGAAAATGAATTCCTATCAATTTGGTGGGGTTTGATTATTATTATTATTATTATTATTATTATTATTATTATTATTATTATTTGGCAATAAAAACAAATTCTGTGGACAATTGTAAAATATATATATTTCTCTTTAATGGACAATTTCCATGGAAAACAAAATCAAATGAACAACAAAAAATCTAAAATTTCAACATTTTATAGGAGAAAAATTGTACTAATCAAATACAATTAATTGACAATTCTCAGGAAAACAATTCTAGGTAATTCAATTCTGTAATTCATTTTTTCCATCTAAATTCCACTCTTACAATCAAACGGACCCTAAGTGCAACATAAATCTTCTAGGAGCACTACAACGAAATGTACTTTATGGCATGTGGTCGCATGCCATATAAAGTCATGCAGTGAAAAGTGGTGTGCCTTTTATTGCATGCAAAGTACGCCGTCTATAGAACGCCGTAAATGAGTTTTACGGCATTCAGCTACACGCCGTAAAAAGTACACCACTTTTTATGGTATGTTACAATGCATGCCGTAAATTTGATTTACGGCATGCAGCTGCATGTCGTAAAAAGGTATCCCACTTTTTACGGCATGTTAAAATGCATGTCGTAAATGGCAACATTTACGACATGCTTTAAGCATGCCGTAAAGTGTTTTGGAATTTACAGCATGCTTATACACACCGTAAATATCAATTTAATTTTTTAAAAATTATTTATTTATTTGGTTACCGACAAACCTATAATAATAATGAAACAAATTTAATCCATAAATAATCAAGTTTTCCATTGTTTCGATAAATAAAAATATTGAATACGGTTCAATACAATATGTCAATGTAAAGTTCACTGTTCATCTCAACAATTTTCAAAAACACTACTACCACTAAAAAAAAAAAATGATTGGACCATATCAAAGTTAACTTTTTTGACTGACAATTTAGCTATTCCACAAAATAGCAACTCCTTGCACACCATAGAAAAAATAAGGATATGGTTAATAAATTTAAAGTGAGCATGTAAATCAAAAGTATATCAAAAAACATATTAACTTTTATTTAATCAACGTAAGTACATATGATAAGTAATTACTTGAGTATATTGTTAGTAA